CGGTGACCTGCTAATTGTTGACATCGATTTATCGACGGCAACGCGTCCTTAACCTTACCACAACTACCAACTGTTACTATGTACAACAATTTTGTTTATGAATTTTTTGATTTTTTCATATACATTGACTTTGTTCCTTTTCTTCATCAACCCATAAAAGTCCACTTCTCTCGTTAATAATAGCCTATATTGTAAATCTACTTTCCAAACTTGGCAAGCGGATAGGCGCTGCTTCTTTTTGACAGTCTATGCAATTATATCTATTATAATATACGAGTCCTAGCAAGAGGGGAGGCTACACTTCGCTTCCCGGTACGAAGTTGCCACTAGAGAACCATTCTTCCCCATCGGTTGTCAGTTCTTCGAGCTATATGGCCGGCCCTTTGCCGCATCAGATTACTAAATCGTTAGGCATTACTGCGGATATCTTCATTTCTAAGTCTATCGCGCAAAGAAACTCCCACTAGATAGAGATAGAGAAACTTCCGGACCGGCCACCCACTAGATGGAGTGACCACTTGGTTAGAATTGCAGGATTTCGATGGATGCACGTGGCTCAGGACCGTGCTTTTGTGGCATATATAAGGCCTATGTTCAGCGGTGGACTTAACAAATTATCTTCATCACCATTATCATCATTACAACCTATGCATCACAAATGTTGTTGCCACTGTTGAACACCAAACATTTATATCCTCTCCTTAGTTTGCCGAGTGTTTCAAGCCTCCTCATACGACATGCATACGTTTTAGAGCCATGCTACAGCTATATTAATAGTTCTAACAGTGGTAGAGCCACGCGGCAGCTTTTGCTGTCGCACGGATGGGCCGGCTCGAACCGGGGTGGTACCACGACCTCACAGAAAACCAGCGTGAAATAGAGGTTTACCTCTGCGTTTCGCTTGGTGAGTGCAGGTGGCCGGAGGCTCTTTTTACTGGAAATGATGCATTCCATCTTAGTCCTCACGGGTGACAACGCATCTACAGGATAGTAGTACTAGAGAATAGATGTAGATGTCTATGGGCCGCAGCAACCACTTACCATCAGGTGGACTGTTTGCTCGTTTTTCACCCTTATCCTATAAAAAAAAAGTTGTAGCACGAATGGGTCGGTTCGACCGGGGAAGGACCACTCTCTCACAGTATACCTCTTGGTCGCAGCTCGAAGTATGAATGTTCTAATAGAACACTGTCTCCAGTACTCATTTTCTACTGACTTCAAAAAGGACGAGGTACCTACTCAATTCGACTGTATGTTTTTTTTATTTGTGTTAACTTTTTTCTGGGTGAACCGTTTTCAATGACTCTTTTTTTTATTTGAAAGCCGGTGCTTCTCATGTGATCCCATATAAATTTGATCAAGTTCTGACCAATAGTTTTTGAGTTATTCTTAATAACACCGGTCTACAGCATCTTCGCGTATGGGACATATATACCTTATTTTTGTTGCTTTTATAGCTAGAAATAAGAATAGAGACAAAAATAGTTCTGTTTTGATTTTGTGTGAAAAATTGCAAAAAAATCAAATAAATAAAAATACATAAAATCTGAACATAGAAATGATTTAGTAAAAGATAACGAACGTCCATTTATGATTTATTGGTCGTAAAATAGAGTCCAAATGCTTAAAAATAAACTAATTTGTTTTTCCTATTAAGTTCAGCACAAGTTCCTCTTATTAACCCCCAAACATAATCCTCCATCATGCTTTCGGTGTACTAACCTTGGTAACGTCTCTCAAATTCCATTGTCTTGATGGAAGCGTTCCCCTTGTTCTTCCGAATAAGCTCCCATATTATCCCTAAATTTATCCAAATGAGAATGTAACATGTGCATCTTTAGAGACATTCTATATCCGATGATACAAGAATTTGAAATCATATCAGTAATCAGCTCTATATAATTTTCAGCTCTATGGTTTCCAAGGAAACCATGAACTAAAGCCTTAAAACTGTTCCAGGCTTTTTTCTCCTCATCGCTAAGTAACCGCGGGAAAATATCACAATCCTTATTTTTTTATTTGATGGCCTACAAAGATATCAGCTTTAATTTTCTTTGGAAAAAAATGTTTTCAAATATTTGAAAGCTTCGGTACTCATGATTAAGAGCCTTTACAAATTGTTTAATAAGACCCAATTTAATATGCAATGGCGGCATTAATATATTTTTAGGATCAACAATTGCTTCCCATTTAATATAGAATTTTTCTACTTCGTACTTAGTACGTTCAGGCCTATATTTTTGGTGGTAGTGAGCTGCATCATTCCTACTATCCCACAGGCAAAGATAGCAGGAGCATTTAGTATATCCACCTTGCATTCCAGTTAAAAACACACCATCTTTCAGTTACCGTCTTTCGCAAACACATACTGTTTGTTGAAATCTAGAAACATTGCCCCCGCCCTCTTACTTCTTTTTCGATTGCTTGCGATAGCGACAGCGCGCAATGACCGACTTAAATTGAGTGCGAAAATCAAAAATGGTCAAATCGCTATAACTTTTTTAAAATCAAATATTTTCTATGTACAATCTCACCTTTTTTTATGTCTTTGCTTATACAATCAGGATAAAGTAAGTAAATCCCATGCGCAATATTTTTTATTATTTCGTTGACTGGTGTAATTTATATTGAAGTCGGTTGCACAAAATTTTAAATTTTTAATTATCATCAAGTTAGAAAGAACGTAATATACCCAACAATTACTGAGTATGGCTGTAAACTTGACTTTTGATTACTTTTAGGTTGTACTTCAATTTAATCTTACATCATGCGATTGTTATATTTTTATATAGACAAACGAACACAATTTAATAGGTACTTATTAGGTATAATTTTTTGCCTACAGTCCGTCTGGGTCGATAAGTACCACTCTAGTACCTACTTATTTTTGCCGCCAAATAGCAGTGTATGCACTGTTATGTTCCGGTCGAAGGATATAGAGTAGAGATAGACAGTCAGTATATATCAGGCTGTGAGTAATTTCTTAGTCAGCTGTGACAACGCAACGTTGGTGGCAGGTGTCCATGGACTGCAGTAGTCATTTTTATCAAAAGGACTGTAGTGCCAATGTAAACCACTATCCCATATCATCCCGTGGGTGTCGTAAGAGGCCACAAAGGGAAAATGAATGAGGCCATGGGCGGCAGCATCATAGCTAAATAAAAATAAAAAACGACAGGCACAAACCCGCTTAACAAGCGTAGCGAATTCCGCCTTTTGAGGCAATCTGTTGTAAGGTGAGGCCTATGTTCAGCAGTGGTCATTTGACAGGCTGTGATGGTAATGGTAATGAACGGTATGTTCCTTTGTCACTTCAATTTTATATAAAAACTAGCTGTCCCTCGCGACTTCGCCCGCGTGAAATTTACTACGATTTCATGGGTTTTAATTTATTTGCGCGAAACCCTAATTCTTTTTCTAAAATAAAAGTATCCTAGTTACTCCTTATAACATCGGCTATCTGCCAGTGAAAGTCCCTCAAAATCGGTCCAGCCGTTTCGGAAATTAGCCGGAACAAACAGACAGACAGACAAAATGTTAAAAAATTATTTTTTGTTATTAGTACCGTATATACTTTTATATGCATTTAGAAAAACCTGTTATTTTAACACTAGCTGTTCCCCGCGACTTCACCCGCGTTTTATTTGGGGTTTTAAATTTTGCACGGAACCGTAATTATTTTTCTAAAATAGAAGTAGCCTAAGTTACTCCATGTGACATCAGGTATCTGCCAGTTAAATCCCGTCAAAATCGGTCCAGCCGTTTCGGAAATTAGCCGGAACAAACAGACAGACAGACAGACGGACAGACGGACGGACAGACAGACAGACAGACAGAAAAAAACTTTAAAAATTGTATTTTTGTTTTTAGTACCGTGTATACTTTCATATGCATTTAGTAAAAAACTGTAATTTTGACATTCATATTTGACACATATTTGTATATATTACAAACAGACACTTCAATTTTATTTATTTGTATAGACTAGCAAAAACGGTCAAATTGCAGAGAAGTTTCAGAATAAGTAATGTAGGCAAATAGTGAAGAAAAAAAACTCTTAAACATTCTGTCCTTTTTGTCAAGTAAATTTAAAATGCGTGGTAATGCATTAATTTAACTTATTATTTTACTATGCACGCACACATTCGTAAGGGGCAATCGGTAGGCAAAAACGTTATTGCTTATAAATCACATTCAGTTTAGGATAATCTATACAAATAAGTATTTCAAATAAAAGTATAAACTTTATTTACTCGTAATTTCAAAAACTGTAATAAAAGTATTATCATTTACTCTACTCTGTGAAAAATAACCCTGAATAGACGCGAATTTATTACAATTGGATTTCATGGGCTTTAATTTTTTTTTTGCGTGGAATCTTAATTATATTTCTAAAATAAAAGTAGCTTATATATACTTTCATAATATGCATTTAGTAAAAATCTGTTATTTTGAATTACAAACACACACTTCAATTTTATTTATTCGTATAGACTAAAAAAAAAGAAAATGGAATTTAGTAATATTTTATTAATTTTAAATTTAGAAATGAAAACTAAAAGTTATATGTGTTTAGTATGATTTTAGGAAATAGGTTTTCATACTCATTTTTGAAAGTTGTGTTTTTTTTTTTTCAATAAAACTGTATGGCTACGACCGAACTACAGCAAATAGGAATATTTCCTTTCGGCTATGTTGAGTTTATCAGCTTAATATATGCCATGAAATAACATTGTAACAAAGTAACTTGCATTACAACCTTAAAATTATATTTGGCAATGACATTGTTTTCTTTATATAACAAGTATAATTACTGGTATTATTTCTATGAGGTTGGTCGCACCTGACAGACACATAAATAATTCGTAGAACACGTCATATCAATCGATGGGAAATGGGTCATCATTGTGCCGCTCACCGTCCAATCAAACACACGTGCCGTTGTTTTAAATTAAAAAGTAAAAAAGTAATCATATTAAAAAACAAATACGTCTGACACGATGAAGCATCAGCAAGTAAACGTGGACTACTGGGCGATGGCCAAAGCAATGTTGACGTATGGAGCACTGACTGCTCTGTGTTGGCTGATGTTGAGGCTCTTCAACATGGTGTTCCAACTGCCACGGAAATTACGGACACAGCAGGAAAATATCCAGAGTTCGTTAAAAGAGCTCCAGGTAGGTTTCGATAAACTTGATGTTACCGTCACCGTTACAGCCTATGAAAGTCCACTGCTATACAGGCCTTCTCCATCGATTGTCTCATAGGGGGGATATTTGCCATAGTCGCCACGCTTGCGCAAGCGGGTTGGCAACCGCAGTTTTATTTTTATTTTTAGTCGTTATTAGGAAGACGCTGCTGCCTATCTACTGATTTGTTTCCCTCTGTCGCCTCTTACGACACCCACGGGTCGATATGGTGTAGTGGACCGCCACTACGCCATATCATCACACGGTCAAACATGATGTAATGGTTTTTAAAATTACTCCATGTCAGCCTCATATTAAAAGGATTTCGATCTTATCTACCCATCATAATAGCGTAGAGTTGAACATTGTATGGGTTTTCTTAATTTAGCTTCCGGGGTCAGAAATGAATTTACCCTCCATACTTCCATTTTCTTTTTGTTATAATAAGTGCGTTATTCTATATAATTATGCTCCAAACCGAATTTCGGTCACGGCGGCCAGTCCCAACGGAGACTAGGCACCTACGCGGGACAGGCTTATAGTGCCTAAATGTATGCTCAAGCACAGGTGCACTCTATTCCCTCACTCTCATAGTCCTATGGGACGGTAAACCGACACGACCGGATAGAGAACAGGCGCAGGACCAACGGCTTTACGTGCTTTCCGAGGCACGGGGGTGAAACACCGCCAACTTCCTGACTCCGGGCAGCTACTGAGAATTTCTTCATAGAAAAAACGCAATAGATTTTAGGCCATAAGAGCAATCTATGATTTAAAACCTAAAGAGTCGCTCCGAGAAAAATTTAAGGAAATTAATATATTAACTTTGGCCTCTCAATATATTTATGGAAATGAAATGTACGTACACAGAAATAAAAGTAGTTATACAAAAATAAGTGATATTCATTCCGTAAATACTAGGAACAGACACAAGCTAGTACGTAGTACCAGTTACTGGACTCCACTGAATCAGTAATTCATTCTTGGGGCGATGTATACGCTTTTACAAAAAATCTCAGAAAATATACAAAATTTAATCTCCTCAAAGTTCAAAAATTGTATTAAACAAAGTTTGTATAAAAAGGGTTATTATAATATTAAGAAATTTATGGATGATAATAACCCCTGGGAAAGAGGTGATCGCTACCAAGCTATTTCTAATTTGTTTTGTGTGCTTAATTGTGATTACATGATTGTAAGCTGTTATTTAAAAAAAAAGTCCCGCTGGGTTTCTTGCTGGTTCTTCCCAGGACAGAGGATTTTTTCGAACCAGTGGTAATTAAACAAAAGAGTGACTTTCAATAAGTATTACTTATAATCCTTAGACCTTAGACCTAAGTTATAATCTATATTGAATAAAAAAGTTTCTGTTTCTGTATCTACTACACATACTCGTATATAGGATTTGATTTCTGATTGCTAGAGTATATCGTGCATGTATCTGATTTTTAGCCTTATATAAATGCTATCAAGCAATTTAATGGCAGAGAACAGTCACGTATTAGTGAATAGACTGTCGGCTACAGATAGTTGACGAGCAATTTTAACTTAGTTGAACGAGAATCTGATTTGATTGATCGTGGCATAAAAAATTTGAAAATATATGCCGCTAGTGACCTCATTCTAGGTCTGCTGCAAAACCGGTCTGGTCGAAGTGACATCGTGTTTATTTCTGATGAATCCTTTGTCGTTTCTCGACATTTTAAACAATTATGTTGAATAAATTGATAAAGAAAGTCAAAACCAATAAATATTTGGTTGTATTCAGCATACAAGATCACATACTTTGTAAAGACAAAATACATAATTGACAAATAATAATATGCTAAGATGACAGGTATCTCGTTTATAGTAATGACTAGCTGATACCCGCTCGCTGCGCTGGGCGCACGATAATAGACGATAATAACGTACATATAAAATATCAAGAACTTTTTTTTCATGGGACTATCGTAGAATCCGTTCTTAGAGAGCGTCTACATTGCGCAGTGAGTAACTATACTAGAGTTAAGTATACTACACTCCAGTTTGACCCTTCTGTAAGTTTTATTTCATCTTCCCACCTCGTGTGCTGCCTTCCTCGTCGTCTTTTCCTTGGATACCATTCTGTTACTCTCCACTTCTGTTGATGGATTCGTTTGAGTATGTCGGTAAGTTGGTTGTATATGTATTTCTTAGGTCAATATTTCTGATCTTATCCTGTCGTTTATAGACGGTTGTACTCCTCTCCATTGTTCTCTGTGCTACTGTAAGTTTTTCTCTTAATGCCTTTGTGAGGGTCCAGGTTTCGCATCCGTATGTTAGACAAGGTAATATGCAAGTATTAAATGTTTTTCTTTTTATTGATATCCTTAAGTGTTTGAACTTCACTGTCTCATTTAATTACCAGTATTTCTTCCAACCTGTTGCGATCCTGAGGTTAATTTCTTTCGGCATTTGATCTTCTATGGAAATTACGTAAAGGTACATCTTAACACTTTCACTGTCCGGTTTTCAGACGCAATAGTAAGACAATAGAAATGACCTATATGTAGTGCACGGGACGGCGACAGGGTTAATACTTTAAGGGCTGATTTTCCAATTAGATGATAAAAGTTATTAATAGTACAAAATACAACATATTGAGATTATTGATAGGTCTTAGTCACCGCGCAGAATCATTATTCTATACGAATAGAAACTTGCAGAAGAGACAGTTTTATTAAGCTGCAACTTAGTTGTGGGATCACGTTGTGGTATCATCCCCCAGCAAAATATCAATGGATACTGTAGCGCATCATATGCTCGATGTATCTCACTAATACGCTGTGAATTACTTCGGCTCTCGGGGACGATGTCCCTTCGATCAAATTGTTGGTCCACTAACACTAAAGCCACTATATTTGTAGTTGATGCATTCATGCTCCATCTACAAATGAAGTATCAATAATGGAAGACAATATAATTAAATAACAAATCACAGTTTTATAAATTAAATAGTTCAACTCATGCACTTTTATATTCAATCAGGTTATAATTTCTTTGATGGACGACTTTTACCTGCTTATCAAAAAGTCGGCCCTTAGCGAATAATTATTTTTTTATAAATAATGTTTTTACAATTTTTGGATAAAATTTTGTATTTAAAAGAAGAAAGAAATTTCTAATGAAGAACAATAACTGACCGATTTTGTAAATTTTACCAGCGACTTACGATACATTTTCCTCTCATAAATGAAAGGAAACCGATGAATTCTGTGCACGTTTATTACCAGCGGTCGCAGAACTTGCATGCCAAGTATATTTATCTAGCCCCGCCAAATCCAATGACTATGCCATAAATAACTGCTTTTCTGCCTAGATATGCCACTGATATCACATAGTACTTCTATTTTTATATCTCTTGAATCTAACGCCAAATATGGAAATCTGTCTTTGAAGAGAATGAGTAAGTTTCTCTATTTGGTTCTTTTAAGGTAGCTTATAAGAAGTCTCCAATGTGACCGGAAAATATTATCTTAATCCACACAGGAAAAATTTGAGACACGTATACAACATCAAATTTAATTGTTACCACTATTCCAGAAACGTTTCCCAGACTTGAATATAACTGAAGAGGATTTAGTGAACGCTGACAAAGAGTTAGAGAAGATCATGAACGAGGAAGACGAAGGTGATAAAAAAACGAATGAAAGTACTATACCAACAATTGAGGAACCACCATCCGAAGAAAACAAGAAAACTAATTAATTTTTTTTTTACATAACAAGGTTAATTGCATATACGTAACCTATTTGAGTAATTAATAAATTTTAGTATTAAATTTAATAGATTGACTTTTTTCAAATTAAAAAATGAAATAAACGAAAGTATTTGAAACGGTACTCGGGCATCGACAACTATCTGAGCTCTTTTGTATTACAGGCAACCCTTATGATTTACTTCTGTCTGTCTTAATGTATCACTAGCAAGCACAATATAATAATTTAATGAGTTTTTGACCAAATTAGTTAAAAATTTAGATAAATCTTAATGTTAAGAAAAATTATATTGAGAAATTCTATATTATATTAATATCTATCTTAAAAGATTAACTCATAAACATCACGCTGCGCACCTGCGCATACACGCACATACAGCGATACAAGAGTACGGTGCTGACCATCCCAGGTGGGATGGTCAGCACCGTACCCTTGTATCGCTGTCACTGCTCCACAATGACACAGTATCAAATAAAAACCGAAACCTAAATCGCGCTATCGAAGTTTCTTTTCAACTTTGTGTTATGTAGGTACATAATAATTTGATACGGTTCTTGTAACGTGTTGAACATAGTATTAAACACAGAATCTTTAACACCTTACAAAAAGAGAGTGGAGATCTCCCCTGCTTCTTCGAGTTAACTCTCACAATTGTGATACTATTCTACCATCACCAATCTATTTGATTTTGATTTGGCTATATCAAAGAATATTTCGCCATTTATCGGCTATCAGTGCTTCGTATTCGTTAGCTAGCAGTGTTTTCTGCCGCAACAGTTCCCGGTTTCAATCATGAGAATTACCACCACAATTGTTTCTATCAGCATAATAAGGACGTCGCTAATTCCGCAATATACCTTCGCTAAAATTACTTGATCGTATTTTTGAGGCAGTTATTTACTTACAGAAGTCAAAGTTCTTTTTATTGGTGTTCGGAATTTATTAAACCTGCTTTATTAAACTGCTGTCTCCGCAGTTTGTCTAGTTAAAACTAATTTTAACTGACATTAATTTTTGATTAACAGTAAGTTTTCTAAAACGCTTTCTATCTAATGACCGTGTAGAACTACTTGTTTGATTGATATTATGTTATTCATACAATATTAGTCTTGTCAAGACGATGGTTCATAGTTATACTAAGATCCGATAGGTCGTCGTTGTAATCAAGTAAATAACAAATTCTACATTTATGGACCAAAATGATACATATTCACAATACAATGTGGGCTTAGTACCCCAAAAGAAAATCACAAATAATCACAAAATATCGATTTTTTGATAAATTACCGCTGTAAAAGTCTCAAGTTTTATACGTGGTAGAGCCATGCTGCAGCTATATTAGTAGTATAGTTGTAGCAGGATCGGCTCGACCAGGTAAGGACCACGCTCTCACAGAATACCAGCGTAAAATAGCAGCTTAACACTGCTGTGTTTCGTATAGTGAGTGTAGAGAACCGCCGTCCCTTTTTGCTGGAAAAGAGGCATTTCATATTAGTGTTCACGGGTGGCAAGGCATCTGCATTTTGATGCTTTATTGAGGATAGATGTTTACAATAATACGATATTCTTTAATTCTATTATCATTTAAAAATATCGCAGCAGGAACAGAAAGACAGCAATGCGTCGTACTTAAAAATTTATACCTTCGATATGTAGAGCCACACTGCACCTGTGTTGTGGATATCCTGTGTATTAACCGGAGGAGTACCACGCTCTCATAGAATACAGCGTAAAATAGCAGTTTAAATGCAATGTGTTTCATATGGTGATTGTAGAGATCCGGTGACTTTTTACTGGTAACAGGCTATACATCTTATTCCCAAGTGTTGACGACGCTTCTATATTTTGATTCTTAATCACAATACAGTTGCGTTGCCAGAGCATACATTTACCGTTAAGGGAATTGTGTGATTGGTCATCCTTACTTGCAAAACAATTTTTTTATCAATTATCCTAGGTGACAAATGAGCACACATTCCACCTGATGGTAAGTGGTTGCTGAGGCCCGTAGATATCTACATCTATTTTCGATTACGAATCAAAATGCAGATGCGTTGTCACCCGTGAGGACTTAGATGGAATGCCTCGTTTCCAGTAAAAAGGGGTCTCCGGTTCTCTACACTCACCATACGAAACACAGCAGCGTTAAGTTGCTATTTTATGCTGGTATTCTGTGAGAGCGTGGTCCTTTCCCGGTGAAAGCGACCCATTCGTGCTACAACTATACCAGTAATATAGCTGCAGCATGGCTCTACCACGTATATTAGCGTCTTTGTATTATAGAATGTTTTCTAATAATCAGCACCTTTCAAAATTGCTCAGTAACCGTCGAAAACACGAAAATAATAACATACACCAACGTCAAAATATAAAAAAAATATAGGCAGTTATTACGCTTCATGCACCTTTAATCACTTACCCCTAGCATGTCATTAACTCGTGTAATTATGTTCAGAACGCACATTAGCCCCTGGTTGGCTTTTTTATATAAAAATGAAACAACTATTTTTATCTCATCGATCGTTGTTATATTTAATCATTATCATTATCATAAACAACAAACAACAGTCCGTAAGGGTCCTAATAAAATAATACAATAAAATAAAAACTAAACCTCAGTTTTTAGTTGACACTGAACACTGACTCTATCAATTTAGTTAAGTAACTATAGTAGTATTTAATTTACTAGAATTTAGTTGTTATAGCCATCTGCACATTGTTACCGGCCTTATCTCTGTTACAATTTAAAAGAAAAAGAAGAAGTGTCATGTCACTTAGGTCACAGTATAAATAATAGTACTACGTACTTAGGTCACTTACGTATACATATATTTCTAGATTAATAATCTATGCGTGATACACTCTCAAATATAATGTATCTTCTATGTAGTCAAAGAGATTTAAATATATAGGTAACTACTTAAATGTCTTTGTATGTAGTACACTGTTTATATTATAATAAAATATACTTATTTATTATTGCAAATCTCTTGTAAAGTGTTCCCTCATATATTCCAATAAAATATAGAATAGTAACAGCGTATATTCTTGCCACAGTTAGCCACAAGCCTCCTCTCATTCTTGAGGTGGTTTTTGGTTTTAGAACATAGAAGAATACGATGCAGTGATCTAATGTCAACACGTGACAGATTGCACATTCCCTCGAGGTTTCGTACGCGACCATCCCGAGTTCGATTCCCGCCAGCATGGCAAATATTATTAATTTTAACTTTAAGTAGTCTTAATATAAAAAAAATTGTCTTAATATAAAGAATTTGTGAGGCAACCTACATATTTGAGAAATTAAAAAATGGGTCACGTTGGGTTACACGAATGGGGTAATAAGTTAACTGTAAAAAATTAATGAAAAATAATTAGGTGCGTTGCATGCCTTTATTTGTATCTCTATAATATATAGATATATGATGAGGTACATTATAAAATCAATAGCAGTACGAGATTGCTTTAATTAAGAAACTTCACTCAAGTGGACTATAGTTTGCGTACTTGTCGGTAGATGGAGTTGAAATATTAAATAAGAAAGCTGGCTGGACCGGCCCGGAGCGGAGGCGTGGTTAAACTCCTCCAGCGAGCTTTCACCCCAAGTTTAATATTATTGATCGCTCCATTCACTGTTACATTACTAAACGTAAATAGTTTTAGAGTATTTGGCGTTGTTCCTTTATTGTTATCTTGTGTAACAAAATAAAGCGGTCGATGATAAACCTCGAAGTGTATTGATACGCGTTATCAGTTTCGGTCGGTGTAAACAGTCGATACCAAACAATAGTACTTAATCAGTTGTAGAAACGTAACGCCGGCTGTCAGGCGCGCCGTCTGTTCAGTAAAAATGTGCGTGTGTTAATGTTTTTGTGTAGTGCAGTACACAGTCTGTAATTAAATGAACGTGACTGAGAACTTGGTGAAGATGACACGCTCAAGCTACAAGCCTCTTGTGCCGCGCTCTTCCAACAACTCTTTGGAGACCCGAGACACCGAGTAAGTACCTATACACTGCTAGATAATGTGTATATTTGATCATATGTTCTCTGAATATTTTCTATATTATGTAAAATTACATAATATAGAAAATATTGATACATGCATAGAATATTGATTAAAAATATGTTTCGAAGTCTTAAGGCCTCAATCTACTTTTCATATACAATTTATTGTAAAAATAAAAACATGTAATAATTTTGTTTCATAGCAAAATATTCGAATTACATCTGTTTTGGTATATACCTACCTACTTATATATATTTTATATTGTTTCCATTGACTTACAAAACTAAAATAATTGTATATAATTAAATAATAAATGTATTTGTCCGTTTACTTTCGTTCTAGTCATAAAAAACCAATACCTTTTTATTGTTTATTCCTAAAATATAAAATAATATCATAAAATAATTGAAATAAATATATCATTAATTTCTAAGCAAAGTTTTAAGTTAAACTATTTAAACTTTTTGTTTATTATTTAATCCAAAACAAATCTGAAATTTAATAATGAATCTTTTTGAATAAAATGTTTAAAATCTTATAAAAATGACATGTATGTATACGAGATTTAAAATGACTTCATACATCTCTAAATTTTAATCACATATATGTGTGATTAAAACACCAAACCAAACAATGAATTTTCATATAAATAACCAAGTAACCGCAATTTTAAATGCATACATTTTATTTCGTTTTGCAAAACCGGATTTCAATGTCTTTTAATTGAAGACACAAAGGTAAGGCAGACATCGATTAATGTTCGCATCGCTGAGATAAATCGCAAAGAAACAAAATGGTTATAATCTTTACAGTTAAACGTATTATTTAACTATTAGTCTGGAAACAATAGAGACAACATTGGATTGTCTCATTTTATTACGCGTACAACAAGTATAGTAAGTAAGTATTCATTATTCTGATGTACAGACAGAAGGATATGATTGATGTCGTTTCCATAATGCAATCAACGAATTATTATTT